CAGCTGAGCATCTTTGGACTCTGCAGGTGGTGTGAGGTCCTTTACTTGTTCTCCAAAAGCCCCTTTTTTGTGCACATAGTGGGTCTGTGGGAGAACTGAAGATTTAATTTTGGCCCGAGTCTTGTGAGCCTAGGTCAGACATATGCCCAAACACTCTCCTCTGTGGCCTGTACTGTCCTTCCTACAAGCTCTGGTCCAGATGATTGTGAAGGCTTTTGCACAGTTCTGTTCAGGTTCCCTCAGCATGCAGGCTCTTTTCACAGACTTTGAATTATGGGATGGCAATCAATTATTTCAGGCTCTACCAAATGCCCAGTTCCCTTACCTGCCCCTCATCACCAAATGCCAAATATCATCTGCAGAATCATAGAATCATAGAATCATTATGGTTGGAAGAGACCTCAAAGATCATCAAGTCCAACCGTGTACCTGATGCCACCATGTCCACTAAACCATGTCTTGAAGTACCACATCTAAACGTTTTTTGAATACCTCCAGGGACGATGACTCCACTACCTCCCTGGGGAAATGCAGAAACTAAATGCATATACTTATAAGACTCAGTAATAACTACTTGCGTCCTGCAGTTAAGTGCAAAAGCAGCTCATATCACCTGAGAAGGACACCAGAAGTAAGGGCAGTGGCAGGTCAGTAGCCTGCCAGAATGCAATTGCAAATTCTAGTTACCATTTGTCAGGATTTATTGCCCTGCTGAAATTTCTGGAGCTCTGATAAAACCTCAGACGTTACTGTTAATCTGCCTCAGCACAACATGGGGTAAATCTTTGATTCAGTGGATCAGTTAAGTGCCAAGATGTCCTTCCAGGCATCTCCGCGTGCTGCCAAAAAAGCCTGCCAGGCAGTGGAACCGGTGTTGTGATCAGATGGCACCTTCATACCAAAATTACATCCTGGTGCATTTAACTGGAGTATTCCTGTCCTTGGGCAGCCCTTGCTTAGTGCAGGCAGACAAGGCTCTTCACTTACAGACACAGTCTAAGGCTTTGTCCATCACGTGAATACTTCTTTTTCCCCAGATTGCTTTGCAGTCACCTAAAGGAAGACAGCATTTCTAAAAGGTGATCTTCTACCTCAGCTACCACTGCATTTCACTCTGCGACTGCATCCCAAAAGTCATTGTGACAAGATGATGCAGGGATGCTCTGTAGTCACTCTCCTTTTTTGTCTTCTTTTTTGCCTACTCTTTTTGCATTTTATGAAAATGGTGGAGACTGATAAACAGATGTCCAGGTATGTCAGATAGTCTCTGCAGTTATGCACTGTGTTTACTCCTCTTATAAGAATTATATCAGAGACAGAGTTACTTTTGTTACAACAGATTTCTACAGCAGTGGAAAAAAGCAATCTTGCTTCAGTTCCTTCCCAGTATTTATATAACTAAATTCTTACGCCTACTCCAATTGTCTTATATTGTTGCGATTTCAGGACAGTAATTCTAGCTTCTGCAATTTCTATTTAAACCCCCAACTTTTCCTAATATCCCACCTGATACCCCTGACGCCACAGTGTTCACCACGATTTTGTTGCTTCCAGTATGAGAATAGCAAGGCTGACAGCTTAACCATCCCTTGGTGACTATTGTGTTTCAAGGTGAGATGGAACTGTCTTATTTGTTCAGTGCCTCAGTTTCAGGATTAACTCTACCATATCTAGAATGTACCATACCTAGATGTAGCTACCAAACATCTCTACCGTACTTAGAATTACATGGAGGCAGCACTGACAGACATTCCTATAGGTTTGGGACCGTATCTAGCTTTATCCAAAGCAGCCTTCCACAACTGCAGTGTGTTCAAGCACGTGGTCCTCTGCTTGGTTGTTGGCATCCATATTAAGCAAATACCCTCTTAACATCTCATAGTGATTTAAAACCACTGAAGTGGTAGAAATGTTTCAACTGACTGTACAAGGGAGTTATCTTTTTTTTCCCTCAGCTTCTCTCCACCAAAATATTGGTGACATACAGCTTCTCAGGGGTTAACATGGAAGTATGAAGTCTGCAAATTTGCAAGGATATGTGGCTACCAGGCACGTGTTGTTGCTTGGAGTGATTCACAAAACCTGCATAATGTTTCTGAGATTGATTCGGGGAGGTGAGCCAAGTTATGAGTGACATTGTGGTGGCCAGGTGCTGCATAAACCACTTCAGCTGTGGAACTGGCACATTCACCCTAGAAATATGTCTTTGTAGTTCTTCTCCTAGCTCCACCAACTGCTCTAGCAAATCAGATGATATGCAAGGGTTATTAAAGCACAGCTCGGTAGGCAAAGCCTGTGTTGGTCATCAAGTTTCCATGCATGGTATCATCTTTCTGTAGGTTTACGTACTGTAGACAAGAGCAGCACGTGTCTGAGGTTCTGCACCACAGAAAGTTTCCTTCCTGTTAGGTATTTCCTGCTGCTCTGCAGTTTAATTCTGAACTCCTCAGTATTTCTGAGGGATTAGAAAACTCAGAAAAGGTACTAGCAACATCTTCATTTATTTCTGTCTAATCAGAGTGATTTTTTTAGTCAAGGTCTGATCATAAGAGTGTTTATTTCCCTCAGTCTGGAGAAGATGGGGTTGTTTTATATCTAAATCCTCATACTTTGCTTCATGGCTGTGGGTAGGAGGTTAGAGCAAACACAAGTATCTTTCTTACTTGTCCAACATAACTTGATCAAGAAAGGGGGACAGTTCACCCCCACTCATTAGTGTTGCTGAGGGGGAAAAGATTTGTCTTTGCTGTAAACTTGTATTCCCAGATTCCACCATTTTGGACTATTTCCTGGTAAAATGCACTTGGAATCAATTTTCTATTCTTCTACTGAACGCAATGCAGCCTTTTCCTCCCTTATTACTGTGGAGTTTGTGTGGGCACTTTTCAGTACAGCAATGAAGTTTGTTCTTTCGATTCTGTTTTTATTTTGGGATGTTCTGCCCAGTTCAATAAGTGGCAATTAAGGGATTTAATGTGGTTCTGAGTAACAATTCTCCCACATTTGACCCCGTGGCAGCTTGTTTATTATTGTGCAGATGTTTTTTTTCTCCTGGTGTTGCTTGCATCAACTAGAGGAGTTCAGGGATGGGGGGGAAGAGTTTGATGCTGAATCTCTGTATACGGTCTTTGTACAGATTGGAGCCCATCCCAGGTTCTTACTCAAGTGGCTACAGCTACTTGTTTGTAACAATTATGTGTTTACCAGACAGATCACATACCTTGATTGTTTGAGGGACCCTAACCTTAAATTTGCCAAGAACTAAGACCTTTTGATCTTCTCTGAAAAACTTAATAGAATTGGCTGAGAAAGAAAAAGTGAAGTAATATTTATAGTAAAAACTGTTACTACTCCCTAGCTGAGTTTGATCTGTCACTTGAACTCAGGGCATACTGCTTCCAGGCTTGGGTAACTTTGCCAACATCTCTTTTCACATGTTTATGAAGCACATGCTCAAGGTTCAGTCATACTTTATTCTGGTTCCATAAAAGCAACATAAAAGCATAATGCTTCATCTGACTGCCCTGTGCTGTAGTCATTATGTCAACCGTATCTGAGAACACATCGCTTCATGGCAAGTCACTGGTCATGAATCATCAAGAGTGGCGTAAATGTGGACAAGAAGTCAAAGATAAAATTTTTACTGTACGATAAATGAAATTATTTGAACTGTAGTTCGTACATATTCCATGACATATCCTGGCTCATACTCCAGCAGAGACTTAAACTATTTGAATTATTAACTGCCATTCTGGCTGGACTTGTACACCTTTTATGCCTTTATCATACCAAGTAAAGACATCTGGGTCACACAGACCTTGTTCTAAATTGCACAGCTCTTGAAAGCACTCTCATCTGGGTTTGTGGGGGGTAGGTGCACTCACTTACCAAGGAGGGAAGCAGTGTGAGCAGCCCATCTTCAGGAATTGCAAAGGTGTGTATCTTCTTCCTAATGTCAAACATTACAGATATGCTGATATTCCTGAAAATAAAGTTCCATTTCATGTCTTACCTTGGACACTTGGGTTTGAAAATGTCAGCTTTACTCTACCAAGCTGGCATTTCAAGTTTTCAAGCCACGAATGAATTTCTCTCATGTGCATCATAAATCTCTGGGGCTTTATGGTCCTTTCTCAGAACTTCTATGATTTGGGGGTTTTATGCTATGACCATTCCAATTTGAAATATCTACAAATCACAAATTCAGATGTGAGGGGACTGTAAAACTGATGATAAATCTGCCTGTCTGAGATGAGTGAACAACATAGGACTCATGGGAAATAAAGACATCAAATTGGGAATATTTTTTTCCCTTTGGGGGAATCTTGGGTACCAGAGAAATTAGCTCTGACATAATTGTTTCCTTCAGGGACCCTGATCAATGTCTTTTCTCAATAGTTATGCTCACTGGGTATGCAGTAAACAAGAGATGTAGTATATTTGGGGTTTAAAAGTTCATAAAACTTTCACAGAAGAAATTTAAAGCCACAAGGATTGTTAAATTGGGGCCAGACTTACTCCGTTGAAAATGGTTGCAAGCCTCATGCTTACCTCAGCAGGAGAGAGGTTATTTCCATATTAAGCAATCAAGTGCTCTTTTAATCAAGGTATCTTAAAATGGTAATTACTCAATCTTAATTATTTGTCAGCAACACATAATTTTTGTTGATACTATAATACTGTTTATTAGCACCATTAATAACCAAGCTATTTTGCTCTCTTCAGTACAGTTCTAACAGCAAAGTCCACAGACATTTTGAATAAATTAGTATTTTAGGAGCATGTTCTGCCCTCATTCCTCATGATTCCTTATAGACTCTGAAGGTATAGCAAAAACTAGAGTTAAACTTCATGTTAAACTACTGGACTTCCAGAGCACTGTAAGACATTACATGGTTCATCCAGTGCTGTGATAAACTTTATATTCTAGTACCCCGTACCTTGTAAACATCTGCGGACAGAAGCATTAGTGTGCATTAATGAATCTTGTATCTTTACAGCGTTTATTCAGGACACCAGTCTATTTTGATTCCTCCCTCAGAACTGGAGACCAATCCCGCTCTGTGGCTTCTTGCAGTGAGTCAGTACAAAGTGAGAGACACTTTTTGTTCCTATTCGGTCATGGAGCTTTGTACTAAGGGACTCGGTTCGCAAACAGAGTCGCTGAAGGTGAGTAATTCTGCAGTCGTGCACAACCTGTTGTCTGCACGCTGGTATTTGAGAGCCTTCCCTGCCATGAACGGCTGTGTTAAATGTGTGCAGCAAGGAGAACATCATCAGAGGGCCAGGGCAACTTCCACAGAACCTGTGTTAATCCTTGCCAAAGGCTATATATGAATAGCAGTCATTCTCTTTCAGATCACAAGGCTTTTAAACATCAAGGAAAGGCTTGTATTTACCTAAGCTTTCTGATCTGTGTTGATAGGCAAGTGTTGGAAAACAGAGGTGTAAACGTCCAAGAGGCCCAAGGAGTATTATATTATGTATTATATTTTATGAATTCCCTGATTATTTGAAGTACTAGTTTGGTTTTGGCCCCTGTAGTTAAATAATCACTTACTTAGAAGTGCTGTATTGTTTTAACTGGATTGACTTCATTGTGTTGGGGGGGATGTATTTTCTGGGTTTTTTCCCCAGAATTGAACGCCATGTAGCCAGTTGCATTTCTGAAATACAGAATTTCCAGTATGCTACTGAAATAAGTTAGATCTTGGGATAGGGATATTTATGATGTTTCCAGCCCTTCTTATCCTCGCTTAATAATTTCCTAATCGGTTTTTCCACGGCTAGAGACTGCTTCCTGTTCGCTATTATTCACTGGCTTTCTGAATTAACATTGGGAAGTAGCATTCCCTCCCTTCAGAATTAGCATACCCATCTCTTCCTACATGCTAATGTTGAGATGACAAGCAAGTATGTCTGCTCTTCTACAGCTATTAGACTGTCATCTGGCCATCCAGCCTCCAGGGAAGATGGAAATTATACTGGCATCTTAGCCTCCATTCCACTATTCCTCTTGAATCATAATATCTACATAATGCGCTTAAGTGCTACTAACTGTTTTTCATTAAATCTTCCAATTTGTGGCCTTTGTTACATTTTAACTTCTTTTTAGGCAAGGGGATTGGACCTTTCACGTGTACGCACATGTGTAGTAGTGGCTGAAGAACGACCTCGGATAGCTCTTACTCAGTCATTTTCGAAATTGTTTAAAGATCTTGGTCTCCATCCACGGGCTGTGAGCACATCACTTGGCTGTAGAGTTAACCTGGCAATATGTTTGCAGGTAAGATTTTTCACGCCCTAATCTCAAAGTTGGTTTAAGAAAATGGTTTCCAGTAAGAAGCATTCATTATATTTCTTTTGACTGCTTGGTTGTAGACATACTAAGGAAATGCATGTGGTACTTAATGTTCTTGCATATACAGCTAGTAAATTTCTGTTACTTTGTCAACTATTCATCCCTCTCATGTTGCAATCATAGCATTTATTCTGCCCATGAATATGGTAATTCAGACAGGCACATAGTAGTGACTCTGTACTCTGTACTCCAAAAATAGTATTTAGTCATGTAATGTAAAATACAGTTTCCAAGTGCTTACTTTAGTATCTTACAAAATGGATTCCTTCTGTTTATAATTCCAGCCATTACCTAATTAGCTAGATATACGTATTTTCTGCATACATTTTATTGCTTACAATGGAAAATTATTTTGGTACATCTCTTCCATTCTGTTTTGATCCACTAGTCAGAAGAAAGTACCCAGGGATAATATAGGATTTAACTTGCATTCTCCAAGAATCTTTATTGAGTCATGATTTTAAGGACAGATGGAGCACTGTAGCTATCTAGTCTGAATTTCTGAATAACCTCTAGGTTTTCACCCAATGATAACTACACCAAGGAAGTAGGTTTAGGCTGATCTACAGTATATAATTTTATCTTTCAAGGCTTCAAGTGATGAAAGTTAACTTGCTTTTTTATGAGGTGTTCAATTTTTAATTAATTTTGCCTTGTTTCTAGTTTAAATTTATCTGGCATTAGATTCAGCCATTTTTTATTTTATTACATTCTTCTAATCTAGAATAAAGAATCTCATTTCTGTCATGACTCTACTACACGTCTTAGTCTTTGATAAATAGATAAAGTACCTTAAGACGTGCTTTCCTGATCTGTGTCTCATGTTTATGACTCCTGATCTCTTTCTGTCCTTCCAAACCTGGTATCAGAACTTCACGTATTATTCCTGTAATAGTGCCACAGGTGTCCTACTCAGATATAATATGATTTCTGACTTAATAATCTTTTTAAATAATACAAGAATCATCTTCTGCATTGGCAGCTGCATTGGCTGGGAAGTTCTGTATTGATGTGGTCACCTACCATCTCTCTAACCTCTTCAAAGTCACTGTCACCCAGGTGGAACTTGCCTGTATTCTATATGGTGCATCCTACATTTCAAATCTGGCAGTTACCCCTAGTTTACATGAAAGGATTTCTCATGCATGTAACATGCATAATTACTTAGGTGTGGAAGCCAGAACAGATCTTAGTGACACTGCAAATAAGGCATTTGCTATTCTTTTCCTGATTGTAAATGTAAAGACTTTTTATTTTATCAAAAAAAAATGTGACAAATACAGATTATGGGTTCAACAGACACCAATATGTCTGTGTGTTATGCCTGCTTTAGCCTCTTGTCCTGTTCAACATCACTAAAGAATCCTGGCTTTCATCAGACCTTGGCTAAAAGTGACGTTGTAGTTCAGCATGTTACCAGAGTATGAATACAGAAGGTATGCCATATCTCCAGTACTGCTTGCTTTCTCTCTGAATACCAGCAGACTACCCCTTCACCCCAGGGTGACTTTAATTATTGTTATCAAACATATGACAAGGCAGATCTGAGGAGGGTTAAAAGTCATTCTGTGTCCCAGAGGTAAAGTTCTTTAGTTTGACATTCTGTAATTGCTGCCATACATACTCTCCAGGAATAAAAGTTTAAGAAAATCTCCTGTAGTCTCAAAAGCAGCACTTGAATCCTTCAAAACAGTTTTACCCTAATAAAACTTAATAGTCTTGAGAGAAAAATACATCTTGTAGGTTAGAAACATCTATGAACTCAAGCAGCATCTTCCCCCATATTTCTGTCATGGATTTGATACAAAAAGTACTGACTGAGGTTTTGAAATCTCTTCTACTGAATGTTTCTTTGTAAGAATACAGGCCTCTGTTTCTTTCTCCATACTGCTTGGACTTTCACAATAGATCAGGATGGATCCCCTCAGCTCCCCCCAGCAGCTGTGGTGGAGCTACTTCTGAAAAATAACTGAACTTCTCTGGCCTCTGGTCCGTGGAGGGGCCAGGCATGAAGGATGCTGTAGATAACAAGGACAAATTACCCGCAGAAGTTTGCTTGCCACTAATGAAAATCTCTATTTCAGACTTGCAGTGATCTCTGGACTGTTTGTGGTGGCTGTTTCATTTATGAGAGAAGTAATTTGTTCAGGACAAATAATAAAACCAGGGAATGACATTAAGGAGAAGTAAGCCAGGTTCAATGACCAAGTATGCCTCATGGGAAGTAATATTGTACTGGGTCTGTCTGGGATGGAGTTAACTTTTTTCATAGCAGTTCATACGGAGCTGTGGTTTGGATTTGTGACTGAAACAGTGTTGATAACACAGCAGCAGTTTAGCTATTGCTGAACAATGCTGCGCAGCATCAAGGCTTTCCCCATTTCTCACTCTGCCCACTGCACCACCAACCCGCTGACCCCAGTGAGCAGGCTGGGGGTGAGCAAGAGGTTGGGAGGGGACACAGCCAGGAAAACTGTCCCAGGCTGACATGGGATATCCCATACTATATAATGTAATGCTCAGCATTAAAAAAGAGGGGCTTGGTCTTCCAAAGTAGCCATTGCTCAGAGACTGCTGGGCATCATTCTGCTTCTGGGAGATGGTGATTGCTTGCTTTTGCATCACTTGGGGTATTTTTCTCTTTCCTTCACTCATTAAACTATCTTCATCTTGGCCCATGGGTTTTCTCACTTTTGGTCTTCCTGTGCTTTCCCCTGTCACGCTGGGAGGGGAGTGAGCCAGTGGCTGGGTGGGTACTTAGCTGCTGTCTGGGTCAACCCACTACAAATATGCTGGAAAGCTGAAAACACTCAGAGAAACTCAAGTCCTAATTAGCACGGAGTTAGAGTGAGTTTTTGCTTCACAGTGTATATCTGCCTTTTGATTGTGTTAGCTCTTTAGCTGAAACTTGCTTCTTAGATGGTTCTTTACAGAAATTCTTGAAAGAGTTATTGAATCAGACTGTAAAAGTGGCTAACTCCCTGAAGGAATATTGTTAATGATACTGACTATGAATTTAAGAACAGCACAGAATGAGAGCCTTGAGTGAGGTGATCAGCCTGGCTGATCACATAGCTTAGTGTCAGGCTTCATTGCGTTCTACTAAGATGTTGCATCTCGGTCCGTAGGACAAACTAAAAGCCATACACTGTCTAAAGAGTGGTGTGGCTGGAATGAAGAAAAGCCATTTCAGAACAGGCTGTATTTAGTAACGTTACTCTTCCAAGTGGAATACTTTTTGGCTGAGGGTAGTTTGGCAAGTTTTAAAGGGGTGTGAAAAATTACTAAAGATGTTACTTACAAGCATCACTGCAAAACATGTCGTTTTGATAGAGAATATAAAGATACAGGATTGTATCCTTTGAAGCATCTGGTAGTAGACAATGCCAAAGACTGGATACTAAATTAAACTGAATGCTCTTCCCAAACTGTCTGGAAGTTTATGGTTAGTGATATTCCAGAATAGCTTGTGGGCTATTCTGTTTTCTGCGCTGAGGAATTTTAATCCTTGATCAACGATGTTCCTGAAATTAGCGTTGTCTCCAATATGTTCCAAAAATGGCTCGTGATTTGTGGATTCTGCACACTGCATAAAAATAATTCTAAAGATGTTTGAGTCAATAGCATCTGCCTTTTTTTATTCCAAGTTCTGTTATCCATGAGATCAGCGTGTTGTTCCTGGAACACCATCTTCCACAGGGATAAGTGTGATCCAGCCTATTCTACGGTCTTTCTAAAATGTGTATCTACTAATCACCTTTCTAAACATATCTCAATATTCAGCCATTGACCCTTACCAGCAAAAAGCCTATCCAGTCTTTCTTCTCTGTAGGCTGCCTCTAATGCAATTTCGATGTGACCTTTGATACCTTCTTCACTTAATTTCCAATCTTTTAGACAAATTTAAGACTCGCATATTTCAAAGGAAAGGTATCCTGATTTTACCTAAAAGCTTTTACTGTTGTTCCCCCCTCCAAAAAGAAGAGGGGGGTGTGTATGTACATGTATGTGTATGTGTCTGTGTGTGTGTATATAAAAACTTCATAGCAGAATTTGACCTTTTATTAAAGATTACTTTAAAAAGGAAAACATTGTGATAATCCCTTTGGTACAAAAGAGCCTTAGTCTACCAAATGATCTTAATTTCAGGATTAAGATCACTGACAGAGTAATGCATTGTCATTTGTATTCATTTCCTCTCAAATTTAGAGCAAGTTTACTATGTTTGTTTTGATGTACTCATTTTGGACTAGATTTTTAAAGGTATGCTTTTGAAAATAAATAATTCTCTCTGTCTTTAGGCACTTAAATACCATTATTATCTGACCTTTTATGGCTGTATAGTCACAGATAATGGTCCAGGAATTTCTGAGATGAAAAGAAGATTGCATCCAGCGTATTTTAATTCTCATTAACTAGCATCTTAGCATGAGAGAGAGAGAGAGAAAAATAGATATGAAAAGTAGTCTGTTTCTTACAACAGTACAGATAGTTGTCTAGGATTTAAACGAATTTCCATTTAAACACTTGAAATAAATATTTTCGTTTTTTTCAGCCTGCTACTCAATTTCAGTTGAGGAAAAACTTCTAGAAGTTGTTCCTTTTCCTTAGTTAACCCCAAAAATGCACTAACAAATATGTCCAAGCTAGAGCAGGAGAGCAGGATTCATCTTCCTTCTTTTATGTCACCTCTAAGTGAGATGGCAAGGTTAAGTGAGTTATCCAATATCCATCTATAGTCAGTAGAATCAAAGAAATTCTTCAAGAGAGAGTTTCATTCAGCCTGTCTCAGGTGCCCATCTTGGAAAGGGATTCGTCACCATCAGGAGATACTTCCTACCTTACACTGTGCACTTTCGTCTTTGATGACTGAGGTTATATGGAGTGAATCCTTTCCTCACTGTCTAGCAAAGGGAACTTTGCTATTAAATTTAAGGCTTAAAGTTAACGTTTCGTTTTACTTAGTGATAGATCACACTTTTTGAGGATCTTCCATATTAAAAGTAATAAGGGATAGCTCTGCAAAGAGTGCAACAGGAGAGCATGTGCTTTATCAGAGGTATGATTCACACTTAGCAATGTAGTGCAGCTTTGGGTGAGTTCCCTCAGGTTCTGTGTTTTCCCACCTTTACTATGAGTCATGCCGTGAAGTTCTTTTCACAGCTCCAGCTTCTGTGCTTGTCTATGTGAAATTGTTAAGTGCACATCAAAAATTCCATTTCTGAGCATCACTGGAGCAGTAGTAGACTCATAGTAAATATTGAGGCCACATGCTTAGATAGCAAAACAAAACAAAACCTAGAACAACAGTTATTTTTAAATTCTTAGGACTTCTATTTGCCTAGTTTGTGGATTTTAGCTCTGGGGAGGGAAGCAGGGGAGAGCATGCAGCTTGGCCTTTGACTTCAGTGGAAATTAGGTACAGGCTGGGTGCTGGCATATGGTCATCCCTACTGCTGACTTGTTGGGGTAGTCTTCCATGCAGTTTTGACCTGCAGTGTTTTCCTAGAGAATAAAACCCTGGCATGTTGCAGAGGTTTGCACGGACCAGGGATGGTTCACTGCCTATGCATGGACATACTTAGTCCAAGGGATATGACTTATAATGTACCCATTTTCAGATGGAAAGTGATGTTTGGCCTGTTCTATTTCCTTGAACACTACCTAGCATGTCCTTAGTAAGTATCAGATACAAAAGAAGTCATGTTGTTTTTTTCCTGTTACCAGCATTATAGATGCTTGCTCGCTCTGTCTTGCAAAATAAATGTGCACAGACAAATTGAGTCAGTCACTCTGGTCTTGGCTAGACTCTGCTTCTTTTGAAGCACTTTTAGAGTATCTCAGCTGCAGCTGGCCACAGAAGGACGATTGCTGAGACTTCAACTGCTGTTTCTCAAGCCCTTCCTTAGTTAAAAGCCATATGAGGCTCTGGTACTCTCAAAACTCCTCTTTGGACCTGCAGTATAGTCACAGGAATGAATTATAGAACTGATGGATTTCAGCAATTCTCCTGCTTTCTTGCAGTTCCACTGCAGTATTCAACCTGGATTATCAGTTGTATTTCTGTTTTGGGGCAGCAAGGTAATGAGCAGATCCATCCTAGTTTTTAAAACGCTTCATCTTCCCCTGCATCCAAAATAAACCTGTTTTAAGATGCTTCTGTGGCAACTTCCTGTAGTCTTTATCTTTGCTGGAATTCAGAAGTTTAATGAGAGGGATATGGGACACCAGTGCTCTCAGAGCTGTTTATTTTCACAAGTTGTAGGGCAAGTCCCGCTGCAGCCATCTGGTGTTAGATGCTCCACATGACAGTAGCAGCTTAGGACTGGTCACCACTGTGTTTTGTCTCGTTGCTGCATTATCAGTCGTGGTGGAGAATTGGTGGGGTTTTATTGGTTTTTAATTTTACTGTTCTTTATACTTTTTACACTGTTTATCGTGGCAAATAGACTAAGAATGAAGAATTATTGAACTGTGACGTTACTGCATTTAGTTGAGGTCTTCTAGTAATTAGGTTGTGCACGAAGCCTTGATTTCATTTTACTCTAGGAGGAGGTTAATCTGTATGAAACAAGGTGTAAGTATCTTTCTCTGTTTTGTACTAATTTTTTTTTCCAAAAAGAGAGCTTACTTTTGATTTCCAGAGGACATCGCATACAAACTTCTTTTAGTAGTGAAATGGCAGACCTGGAATCCCTGTCTCAATGGATGTACATTAAAATAGCAGGGCCATAATGTTCACTGACTTCTTCACCAAAAACAAACAAACAAAAAGATCATTATGCTAGACATATGTTTTCCACTAACAATGTTGTCTGTAGTGTCCTAAACCCATTTAAGTCTCTTTTGTCGAAGGTTAGCAGTCTACAGCTGTCTCTTCTGTTGCTCTACTAAAATGTTGACACCTCATTTTTTACTTTTTTTAACCTTTAATGGTATAATGATTAATTTGTAAGATTCCTGTATTTGACATTGTTTTTCTTTTTATTTTACTCCCTGCTTTTTGCATTCTCCTCTTTTTTTTTCTCCCACCCTTCATTCCCATTTTTTATTATTATTTTTGTCTTGTGTTACCTTCTTTCCTTCTCTCCCTCATCCCTGCTATTCCTGCT